GAGCGTGAGACTCATATCTTCGCTCAAACGTGAATTCCTTCGCTCGAGCAGACTGTAAAACATATGAACTTCTGGATATGTGCATTTCACGCTCGAGCGGGCATCATATCGCTCGAGCGGAAGTATACGCATTCAGAGTGCTCGCTCGAGCGTGAACTCCTATGCTCGAACGTGGCTCCAAATTCTGGGATTTCCAGATTTAAGTGCAAGATGCAAAACTCAAGTGTAAAGCTCCCAAACACATTCTTTGGGCCCCAAATCTTAAGAAAACACTTGTAAACTTGTAATACATTATGAATTAAGGATCATTCCACAAAATCAAAGCCCAAGGATAAGTTAATTGTGCAAAACATAACTTGAAACTTGAGTTAAAACACATGCAAAAATTGACATGATTTCATTTCTTCCAAAACATGATCAATTGAGAAAAAATGTCAAGAAATATGATGAATTCACAAAACTAAGTTAAGATGAACACATGAAAGTGAGAATTCTTTGAGAACAACTTCAAAATTCCATGAAATGCACATGCATGCATGGTATGATCTTCCTATTCCCTTCTTAAGCTTGATTCTTACACCTCATAGCTCAATTCACTTGATTTCATGGATGAATTAACTCACTTACCCAATTAAGAGGGTGGATTCCTACCTTAAGTCTTGAACTAGCAAGTGTTGAAGTCAAACTTCCTCCGAGGTTGAGCACCTCTAGACCTTCTCTCTAAATTCCCACAATTCACTCTTAGTTGAGCTTAAGTCTTACCAAATTCACAAATTTAGAACTCTCTCACTCCTTCTCACGTTTTTTGGTCTTAGGGGACTCAAAGGTGTATGTGTGATGAAGAAAAAAGGTGAGTGGAGAAAGTATATGTGTTCAATGAAGCCACTAATGCCCTGATTAGGCTTGAAAACAAAATGTGGTTAATTAAGGCTACTTAATGGACATTAATTTAACCTAATTTAATCGTTTCGAACCGAATTTTAATTAAACCCACTATAAAATTCTATAAATCCTAATTAGCATATAAATCAAGTCAATTCCTGAATCTGTTGCCGATAAGGCTTTCAATTCGCAAATTGAAATCAAAACGTGAACAGGTCTTTCTACATCAAATAGATATAAACATAATTTATGCAACACACACATGCAATTTAATTCGTAATTTCACCATAATTACCAATTAAGCATAATTAACCATGGATTAACGTTAATCAGGGATCGGGGTTGTTATAATAAGTCTACTTAGTAGGATCTACACATAAATCTCCTATTTTTTTATAGCATGTTTAATGTGAAACAATGTGGATTTGTAGTCACATTTTTTTATTTGTTTTATGTTTTGTGTGTGCAAGACATTTGCGCCACTAGATTTATTCAAATGAATTCCACAAAATAAATGACTCAAATCCCTAAAGTTTGAAATTACACATCTGTTCAAAGCGTATTAAGGGGTTTATACTCATTTTGAAATGTTTGAAAAATCTCACATTTCAAGCCATTCCAAATAAAAAATATTTTCAGATAAAATCTATCCCAAATTTGAATACCCACACCCCATCCAAAAAATATTTTCATATTAGAAGATCTTATGCTCAATGGATATCAATGTGGAAATATACAATGTTATATTTTTTTTTATAGCATGTTTAATGTGAAACAATTCGAACTTGTATAGTGTAACTTTTGTGTAAGGGGGGGCATTTGTACCACTAGATTCACTCAATTGAATTTCACAAAATAATAGGTTGTGTATCTTACCTTTACAACACAAAAGAAAAAACAATGAAACATACTGGAAATAAGGGCATAACTGTAAATCTAATTTTCGAACAATATATTATATAATACTAGCTAATTATTTTTCCCTAGTTGAATTAAATTATGAGCGCTCGGCCATAAATCCAATTTGAATTTTGTTTGTCCAAAAGTCTATACACTAAAATATTTTGTCTATAAGAACATACTTAAGCAATATATATATATATATATACTTATCGTATACCTTTATTTAAAATAAGATTCATATACAAAATCAATAGCTAGGGTTTCACCAAACTGAGATGAAATATTTAGAAAATACTAGAAATCGGTGAGCTAAAAATGGTAAGAAGGCACTAAAATAACAAATATGTAAGGGAATAAGAGATCGAGAAGCGAAATGTGATCGATCAGAATGAAAACAATACAATCGAAGAGTTGATAGAAAAGAGACAAATCATACCAGAAAGAGAGTTGATTGGGGGTGAAATCAACACAATATCGCCGTCGTGATCGGCGACACTAGAAACAAACAACTTGTAAAATAACGTCATAGAAAAACGTACTCAGAGGGAAAGGCGATGGAGGCGTTGGAGGAACAATGGGAAGAGAAGTCGAAGGACTGATTTGTGTATATGTATATATTTATCCCTCTCTCTATATATATACACCTGTGTGTATCGTTGATGATGGTGATGATTTGTTTAAAAACAAAAGCTAAAAGTAAATTGGTGAAATCTGTGTAATGGTGTTGTGGAATTATAGGCGATTTCAAGGGACTCGAGTCTTATTTTCGTCTAATTGCAAGCAATCGGATGGAGTATTAACGATGAAGAGTATAGGTTTCATGAATTCAGATATGTAACAATAACCTTAACAGAAAAATCAAAGCTCTGGCTTAATGCGGTGCCGCTTGGCGCCAAGCTCGTTTTTCGTGAGCCTTGTAAATCCTCATCATTATCACAAATCATTTTCATCAAGTCCCATTGAACATAGGGAAGACTCAGATCTGTTCAATTTTTTGAACAGATAAGTTGAGATAGGTTCAAAAAAACTGAATAGATAAAAAATAATTTCAACAGATAAGGAAAATAGACTTGCGAATCCAATAGATAGATTAATAATTTAGATAGAAAAGAAAAAATTAAGATAAAAATTTGAACATGTATGTTCAAGAAGTAGGAAAAAATAATCTTGGTGAATAATTTTGACAGATAGATTTTTTCAAAAGATAGGTTAATAATTTTGACAGATAGGTTTAAAAAAATTAAACAGATAAAAAAAGATTTGAACAGATAGGTTAAAAAATGGGGCAAAATTAGAAATAAAATATCCTCCAAAATAATAAAATGTACTTATCACCACATTATTTCACAAATTATGTACTTTTGACCAACAAAATTTATCCATAGGACCTAACGCCTCAATCACTCTTCATGTTGGATTTATCACCAATTTTCTTTTAAATTATAGGGGTTATTACAACTTAGTGAAGTCAGAAAAAAAATAATGCAAATTCATGAAAATTTTTATAAATTTAATTATTAATATTTATAAAAATTCTTATTAATTTGTAATTATTTTTTGTAACCTCCACTGATGTGATATTTCTCCTAAATTACATTGCAGTGATTTGGGCATAGACAAGTTTGTTAAGGCTAGAGATTTGTTTGGATCGAATTTGGACAAATCTTCGTATGCTTTAAAAAATTGAACACCCAGGCTTGAACCCAATTGAATTTATCCGAGTTTCAACCTAAAATACCGTTTGTCCTATCATGAGATAAGTCGTTAGAGTAAGAATGGCCAAAAAAAGAAAGTATTTTATGAAAACATACGTTTGCCCCATCATGAGATAAGTCATAGTAGTAAGAGTGGCCAAAACCGAAAATATTTTATATAATGGGTACATTATATAATTAAGATGGCGTAGTGTATTCTTCTACTTATTAAGGGTCATTTTGGGAAGTGGATTAAAAGCCACTTCCCAACTTTTAACCCACTTCGCTCTCTCACAAAAAGTCAAAAAAAAATTAAAAAATAACTTTTCACCATTTTCTCAAAACACCCCTAACATGTGGTAGAAATGGTATTCGATAAGTCACCTTGTATTTCACTTGAGATGTTGAGTGATCGATCTTATCAAATTTTGACCTCATTTTTTATTACATGTTAATTAATAAGTGGGTCCAAGACCCTACCAATATTGAATTTGTTTTAGATTTAGGATTCGTTTGAGAAGTCGGTTGCCTTTTTGAGTTTTTGGCTTTGGAGCTAAAAAGTCTCATTTGGAAAAAACATTTTAGTTTTTTTTAATTTTTTATGAGAAAAAGAATGTAATGATTATGAATTGGATGTGATATTTTGTCTTATTAAACTAAAAAATCTATTTATTTTTTGACTATTTTAACTAAAAAAGGCCCAACCTCAACTTTCCAAACAGATGCTTAGCCTTACCCCAAAAAAAAAAAAAAAAAAAAAAAAAAAAAAGGGGGTCAACGATTATAAAAATGGGCCACCATCTTAGCAAAATAGTGGTTAAAAATATGTAAATAGTGAATTTTAAAAAGGGAAGTGATTGAGACCCCCTCCAATCACCACCCCACTACCCCACATACACGTAGCAGATAGTGATTAGAGAAGAAAAAAAAAAACTAACCAATGATAGAGGGAGGGGTCAAACGGGTGCCTCCTTGATGAATCCGGATCCTCGGCCGCCCTTCTCGGCGGCCGTTCCCAGCAGCCCCCCAAAACGACGTCGTTTTGGGGGTTTTTTCGTTTTTCTTTTTTTTTTTCTTTCTTCTTCCTTCTTCGCAGAACCAGAGGGGAGGGGAGGGGAAGAAGAGAGAGAGGAAGGGGAGGGGAGGGGATCCGGATTCGCCGAAGACTCGCCCGCGCCGCTCGTCGAGCTCGCCAGCCGTCCGATCGTCGCCCGATCCAGCTCGTCGCAGCAGCTGCACCGCCGTCGCCTCCGCCTCCGGCCCGCCTCCGCCTCCTCCTCCTCCCCCGGTGATTATGGCCCCCTCCAGTCCGGCCCACCGGCGGCTCCCTCTTCTTCTCCCTTCCTCTCTCTCTTCTTCCCCTCCCCTCCCCTCCCCTCCCCTCTGGTTCTGTTCAAACGAGGAAGAAGAAAGAAAAAAAAAATCAAAAAAACCCCCAAAACGACGTCGTTTTGGGGGGCTGCTGGGACGGCCGCCGAGAAGGGCGGCCGAGAATCCGGACTCCTCCTTGATTGGGGTCTAACTCATTTTCCTTTTAAAAATACCCCAAACACACCCGCGAAATTATGATGCCACAAAGGACCTAGCTTTCGCTTTCCATGGCCACAATGTCGTCTCCAACACGCCTTGTGGGTGCTGCGAACACGGCAGGGACTCTTCGGACTTCGGTTGCTTTGAAGATTAGTCTCTTGGGTGATTCCCAAATTGGGAAAACTAGTTTTCTGGCAACTGCATTTGTTTGTGTTTTTTTCTTTCTTTCTTGGAAATGTTGTTTTATGCTTTCCTGGGAACCAAACATAGCAATAGCAATCCATAGTGATGTTGTTTGATGACTTGTTAGTGACGTAGTATATATTATTCTGGTTTAGGTTCCTAACTACTATAAAGTTAGAAATTGAATATTTCCTTTGGTAGTTTTTCTTGGTTAAAGTCTATTTTACTTTGAGCATTGCTAATGGTGTTGCTCATGATGCTCTGTCACAATTATATACAAATGATGAATTTTCAGAATTTTATTATACCTAAACTGGTTTGAAAGCATATTGTCAATTCTGGAAGAAAAATAAAATTTTTGGCCCTAGTTTTGTATGAAATTGAATACAGTTGAAGGAGTAATTGAATCTTCTTTGAATATTTCTCCTGGTATTTTTCTTTTCTTTATCTGCTTTGAATCTCTCACAGGTACTATTAACTTCAGTATCTTTTGAGGAATCGAATCTGGTGTACGGATTCCTTTTACGCACTGTGTGGTTGCTTAGAAAATGGGGAAAACAAGAAAAGAAGGAGAAAATTTTGATATACTTGTGTGTTTTCATTTTTCCTTTGCCTTATTCTTAATTAGTGACCTTACTCTCTGGATGCAATCCATATCGAATGATAGCTTTTACCTTACCTTCATGCAATAGAGAATTGATTCCTACCTAGATGTAGTTAGACAAAAATAAAATATTAATATAAATATCACTGATAATAATAATAATAATAATAATAAAATTCTTCGTGCTTCCACAGTAAATCTAGTTGCAGTGATCTCTTCAAATGAAACTACAAATCTCATAAAATTTAATATACCATTTTATAGATCATTGAAGTTTTATATTGTTAATGGTCTTTGGTTGATTCATACAAAACTTGTGAATAGACTATATGTATGTTGGCCATATATAATTCATTTGACCTTGTAAAGTGTAATAAGCAGTAATATAGCCAAGCTTGAACCTTGAAGGTTGTTTCAATTAAATATAGAACATCATTTTTGGACTTATAAATAGGTCCTAAGTTCACATTATAGGTTGAATTATGACGAAAACTTTCCCTGATGTTCTGCTAATATTTTCTACATATAGTTTGAATTTCTATTGATATTGTAACTAGGATGAGTGATGTAGAGAGAATGAAATGAAGCTATCCAAGTTCAAGAGGATTTGTGTCTTCTGTGGGACTAGCCACGACAAGAAGAGGAGCTACCAAGCAATCCACATTTACTTTTCTCCCTCTACTTCATTACCTTGGACTAGCCGGGGCAAGAAGAGCAGCTGCCAAGAAATCCACACTTGTGTCTTCTGAAGAAGAATTATTTTTAGTGGTTTCTCTCATCTTAATAACTAAATTCAAATAACGGGGAAAACAAATGGTATATTGGCTTGAGGTGATGCTTATCAGTGTTGGCTTAAAATCTCAGTGAATCAAGGAACCCCTTTGTAGAATATGCAGTGCAATATGCTGTAGCAGCAGCCCTTGCGACATTGGATAAGGATAAGAAGGATTTGTTACACAAACTACTTTTACAAGGTAATGTTTGATGCTTCATCTTTCTCATTAAAATTAAGTAATTGTAAATATCTAATGTCTCAACTAGATTATTCATGCAGGTCTTGACATTACAATCTTAGGTTGCAATGACTTCTATTCATATCGGAATCAGGTATTGTACCTTTCCCATTGTACTTTTAAAATCTTCAACTTATTTTGTCTTTAGTGGTGTTTATTTGCTCATATTTTTTGCGTATCATGTTCTTTCTCTTTTACTACAATTGAAACATCTTCTATAATGATTATGCTTTCTGAGCTACTAGAATGAAAGTGATTTTTTGAATCATTTTATCTATATCATTAATGTATTGTTACAAATTTGCACGTTATTATACTTGAGATGTTTCCATATGGCAATGTTTAGAGCAAGCCAAAGTTTAACGGATTGAACTGTGTAAGTTTTCAATGCTTCTAGGTGGGGTTTATCATGTGAGATTGGAAAAGGGAAAGTTAGCAGTGGTTTTGATGTTAGTTCTGCAGTTTATGGTAAGTCAACGATATGTTCGCTTTTCACCAGAATTGCTTTCTTCTGCTCAGGTTTCTCTCTCTCCCTCCATCTTTCTCTCTCTATATATACAATTATATTTTGTCGTCGTAAAGTATTATTGAATTCTTACCTTGCCCTTAAAGTTTATTTTTCCCAATTTGGTCTCTAAACTATATGATCATTCCCAATTTGGCTCAATTCCCAACTACTGTCCAAATTATTGACATAAATTTGCACGTGGCACACTTTGGCCCCACATGGCATATTAAATAACCATTCATTTTGGTACATGTATGATAGCATTGGTGTTACACTTTGGCATTACAATTCATCAATGATCATTGATCAAACATAGCATGAGACATTCAACTTGTCAGATATCAAGGGCTCTGTGGCAGAGCTTATGATGGGAATGAGCTGAGAACATGAAAAACAAAAGAAGGTTAGGAAGTTATAGAAGACTGCTTTTGACAGAAGTGCCTTTTTGGGGACAACATTGTAACGAGGGTACTTAATTAGGTGTATTTTTCTACAAACTTTCACTAGAATTTGTCTTATTTATGAGTTTTCCTTATTTGGAATTGCATGATGCTGTTTTTTTTTTGAATGAATAAAATTGCAGGATGTAGTTAAAGGAAAAGCGTTAGAGGAAGTCATCGGTGATGTGCTGAATGGAAAATGGGACCATAAGAGGACTACATATTGAATCCCTTAGTAGTTGGTATTGTTTTTTTTCCTTAAGAGCACTACTAAAAAACTGACTTTTTGCATGTTTCTTTTTTTTTTCTTTTTTTTCATTTTTGCGATCGTTTGTTTCGTCGTGGCAAAAAATATATTTGCAACAGCATTATGAGACGCCAGTCAGGGGTGGTAAAAGGTCCAGTTTATGAGTGGGCTTTATATTTGCCCCCATTTATTTCTCCTATTTTCTTTTATTTATATTTGCCCTGGCCAAGCATGCTCAAACGCTCTCTCTCTCTCTCTCTCTCTCTCTCTCTCTCTCTCTTCAAGGTTCTGTTTTTGTTGCTCACATTGCATATAGATATATATATATATATATACAGATATAGATATATAATCTAAAAACCAAGCATGCAAGAATCAACTGTTGTATAGAACATCTTGTCAAATCGATTCTAATAGGCCGATTTGCTATAGGATTTTTCGGCTCCAATGGAGCAGATTTGGATAAACTGCAGACATTTGGTGAATTTGAGGTATTGGATTGTTATTGAGAAGAATTTGTTAAATTCACCATTGCAAATTGAATTGGAGTGAAAACAAATTAAAATAATAGAAAAATGCTCTATGGAGATCAATTTAGTAACAATGCATTCTAATGACAAGTTTGTTGCTCGCTCTGTCGTTTATGGTGATTTGTATAATGTTGTTGCAGTTCAAACATTTTGGGGACAAGGTTATTGTTGAGGAACAAATAGAGAGGTACATTTCAATGCAGTTTGGTTAAACATATATGTGCAATGCTACTGTATAGTCTGTTTTTAGTGGTGTATAATGTTGCTTAGTTAGAAATATTGCTTTTTGATTGTTTTTGAATTGGCATTTTTCGTTTTGTTTTTCTTGAGATTTTAGTTAATATTTTTTTGTAGGGGATATGAATGAGATATTTCGTGGCAGTTCATTTCTTGAATTAAGAAGTGCATGATTTTATCCTCTGCGGAAAACAGCTTGCTTGAGGTCTTTCTTGTCGAAAATAGAAATAACGTATTTTTTTTTTTAATGCATTTTAATTTTTGACATGTGTATGTTTATTCTCTCTCACACACACATACCCACACACCCACACTGATAAGGATCCCAGTTCAGATGCATTAGCCACAGCTTCAACAACTTCAAATATGTCTTCTTCAGCTGTCAAGAACAGAGCTTCAGCTTCAGCTGCATATGCATCATGTAGTCAGTTAGGAATTGGTTAGCTAGTTGTTAGCTAGTTTAGGAGTTAGTTACACTGTTAGAGGTTAGTTATCTGCTTATCACAGCAGTCGTTTACTTTCTATAAATACAGCTTGTATGTAATATCAAGGTTAATAAGAAGAAATAAGTTTTCCACAAGCTATCAGAGCAATGAAGCTCTCACGAGCATTCTTGGGTTCTTGATTTCAGTTTATCAGTTCTTCCTAGATTCTTCAAATATTTTCTCAATCATTCTTCAAAGTTCTTCCATAGCTTCAATCGTCTTCAATGGCTACCTCAAATGCTCTTCCCTCAAATCTTAGTCTCCTTATTTCAAATCTCAATTCCTTCATAACTGTAAAGCTGGATTCTTCAAATTTCATCATTTGGAGAAGTCAATTTCTCAATATTTTGCGTGCTACAAATTTGCTAGGGTTTGTTGATGGTTCTCATCCTTCTCAACCATTAACGATTACAAATGCAGATGGAACCACAACAGTTAATCCAGAGTTTCTGCAGTGGAAACAAATCGATGCACATCTATTGAGTTGTCTTACAGCTACACTCACACCTGTGATTTTCTCTTCTGTGTTGCATCTTCAACATAGTGCAGAGGTTTGGCAAGTTCTGTCAAAACGATTCACTACATTGTCTTGCAGTCATATTCATCAACTGAAAAATCGCTTGACTAACATGAACAAGACTTCACAGACAATTGAAGAATATCTGAATCAGATTAAAGAGTTAGCTGATCAACTTGCACTTGCCTCTTCTCCTGTAGATGCAGAAGATCTAGTTCTTCTTACACTGAATGGTTTACCTGAAGAATTTGATGCTTTCAAAACCACAATCCGAGCCAGGTCAGAAGCCATCTCTATGGAAGAACTTTCATCCCTTCTATGCTCAGAATCTATTCACATTCATTCTCAAGAAAATTAATGCTCATGAACCTTCAGTTGCATATGCTGCTTCTCGTGGTTCTTCTCATGATTTTTATTCTCGATGCCAATCTTATTTCAAAGGACACAGAGGTGGTTCTTGACATGGCTACCGAGGTCATTTTTCTTCTCGAGGCAGAGGTAGACAATCGTTTAGCAGTCACAATTACAATTTAATTTGTTAGATCTGTGGAAAAACTAATCACTCAGCTCTGGAGTGTTGGCATCGATTAGATGACAATTATTCTGTTCAAACTCAGCAGCCACAGCAATTGCAAAATCAGTCAAGGCAATCTTCATCCCACTCATCTTCTGCTTATTCTACCTATCAGCCTTCATCACAATTATCATCTGATTTTACAAAAACCAAAGCTTTTGTGGCTTCTGCTTCCTCTCCATCTCAGTATGATTCCTCCCCTTGGTATCTTGATTCTGCTGCATTTGACCATATGACTCATGATTTATCTCAGTTGAGTCTTCATCAACCGTACCAAGGAACTGATCACATCATTGTTGGTAATGGTCATTCTATTCCTATTCTTCATACTGGCAAGGGTATTTTGCCTACTCCACATCATACTTTTAAACTCAATAAAGTCTTGCACACTCCTATTGCTTCCAATCTTGTGTCTGTGCACAAACTTACTAAAGATAATAATTGTACAGTCACTTTTGATGAGTCTTCCTTCATTGTTCAGGACAAGCACACGAAGGACATCCTACACAAGGGACTTAATTCACATGGTTTATATCACTTTCATGCATCCAAGCCTTTTTCTGCTACTGCTGTTCCATCTTCATCATTTCATTCTCATAATGCACTGTGCAGTTCAACTACCAATAAAGTGTCTGCCACTGTTTGGCACAAGAGATTGAGGCATCCATCCTCTCTCAAGTTCAATAACTCAAACAATTTCTTTCTTCCACTTGTAATAAAGTCAAGGATGATGATTTTACTTGTTTTCACTGTTGTGTAGCAAAAAGCCATAGATTACCTTTCAAATTGTCTAACGCTACTGTTCAAAAACCTTTCTCTCTCATTCACAGTGATGTATGGGGACCTTTTTCCCCTTCTCTTTCTGGTTATAAATACTATGTACTCTTTGTTGATGAATATAGCAAATTTACTTGGCTTTATCCATTGTGTTACAAAAGTGAGGTGTTTGATAAATTTGTAGAATTCACAGCTTATGTTGACAACCAATTTTCCATTCACTTGCAAATTTTTCGCACTGATGGAGGTACTGAATTTGTCAATTCATCCATGACTCAATTTTTCTACTCTCATGGTATTCTCCATCAAATTTCTTGTCCCTATACACCTCAGAATGGAGTCACTGAGAGAAAACACAGACACATCACTGAGACTGCCATTGCACTGCTTCATCACTCTTCCATTCCTATTAAGTATTGGTTTGATGCTATTTCTGCAGCCACTTATCTGATTAACAAAATGCCTAAGACTAAGGCTTCTCATTCTTCTCCTTATGAATTATTGTTTCATAAAGCACCTGATTACTCTTTCATGTGTGTATTTGGATGTCAATGTTTTCCATGGCTTAAGCCACACACTTCTCATAAACTTCAACCTAAATCTACTTTGTGTGTCTTTTTTGGTTATCATCCGTCTTACAAAGGATATAGGTGTCTCAATCCTTCCTCTGGTAAGGTTTATCTGTCTCGACATATCTTATTTCATGAGAATATTTTTCCTTTTGCCACTATTTCTCCTCTTACTTCTCAGACCTTGTCTATGCTTCAATCTTTTTTCTGGTCTTCTTCTCCTTCTCCAACTATGGATCATCAATCTTTCTCTGACAATTCTCTGCCTATTTCTCCATCACTATAACCAACTCCCATATCTCCTTCCTCTTTACCTTATTCATCATCTCCTGTGCCACTGCAGCCCACTGTACCTCTGCAGTCTATTGTGTTTTCACAGCCAACATTACCTCAATCTGTCCAGTCGGAGCTGCCTCAGCCTGTTACTTCTTCTCTGCCATCAGACCCTATTTCTTCTCCTACTCCTACTCCTATTTCTTCTATTTTTATTGATTTACCTCTACCTCCTCCTTCTACTAATTGTCATTCTATGATTACTCGCTCTAAAGCTCATCCTCAGGTCTTCATGGCTTCTTCTAATTATTTTTCTGACACTGAGCCAACTACTTATCAGCAAGCTCTCAACTCCCCTGTTTGGCACACTGCCATGTTGGAAGAATACAATGCTCTTCTTGCTCAAGGTACATGGTCTTTGGTTACTTTAACTTCTTCTAAATCTGCTATTGGCTGCAAATGGGTGTTCCAAATTAAGCGCAATTCTAATGGTTCTATTGCTCGTTATAAAGCTCGTTTGGTTGCAAAAGGGTTTCTCCAACAAATTGACTATACTGAAACTTTTAGCCCCGTTGCCAAACAACCAACTATTCGCATCTTATTGTGTGTGGCTCTGCATTATCATTGGCCTCTCAAGCAGTTGGACATTAGTAATGCTTTTCTACATGGTACATTGGAAGAGGTCTACATGACACAGCCTCCAGGCTTCACTAGTCCATCTCATCCCAATCATGTTTGTCTCTTAAAGAAGGCTCTCTACAGTTTAAAGCAGGCTCCTCGCGCTTGGTATTCTACCTTCTCTAGTTTTTTACTGTCTCAAGGTTTTCTTAATAGTCAGTGTGACAATTCCTTATTCATTCAAAGGACTTCTTCCACTATTACTCTTCTTCTTGTATATGTTGATGACATCTTGGTTACTGGTAATAGCTCTTCTCATATTCAATCTCTTCTTGCTCAAATGCATCCTGCCTTTGCCATGAAGGAGCTTGGGGATATTTCCTATTTCTTGGGCATATCTATACAAGCTTATGGTGATTCGTATTTTTTATCTCAACACAAATATGCTGCTAACATCCTCATTAAAGCTGGTATGACCACTTGTAAGCCTTGCAATTCCCCTGTATCAGTTAAGCCTTCTATTGGTCCCGACTCTGTTCTTCCATTTGATCAACCTGAGCTTTATCGCAACATTGTTGGTGCACTCCAATAGCTTACTATCACCAGGCCTGACTTGTCTTTCTCTGTTAACCAAGCTTGCCAACACATGCATGCTCCCACTATTGCCCATTTTGCTGATGTCAAGAGACTGTTACGATTTGTTAAAGGGACTTTAGCCCATGGACTCACTTTCAGTCCTAGTTCTTTGGAACTTCAGGCCTTCTTCGACTCGAACTGGGCTGGTGATGTTCTAGATTGTCGCAGTTCTTTAGGCTACTGTGTGTATCTTGGGTCTAACCTTCTTTCTTGGTCAGCTAAAAACCAACCAACCATCTCAAGATCCTCTACCGAAGCTGAATATCGCTCTCTCGCACACACCACAGCTGAGCATACTTGGTTAACAATGTTACTCCATGAACTTACTTCAGCTTCACTCTCCTATTCCTCCTATTCTTTGGTGTGACAACCTGTCTGCTATTGCCTTGGGTTCCAACCCAGCATTTCATACCCGTTCTAAACATATCGAAGTGGACTGCCACTTCATTCGTGAAAAGGTTGTTACTAAACAACTCCTTCTCAAATGTGTTTCTTCTCTTGATCAAATTGCTGATGTCTTTACGAAGCCTCTCTCAGTTTCACGATTTAACTATCTTAAAGCCAAGCTTCTGGTCTCTTCCTCTCTTATCAGCTTGCACAAGGGTGATAAGGATCCTAGTTCAGATCCATTAGCCACAGGTTCAACAGCTTCAGATATGGCTTCTTCAGCTGTCAAGAACAGAGCTTTAGCTTCAGCTGCATATGCATCATGTAGTCAGTTAGGAATTGGTTAGCTAGTTGTTAGCTAGTTTAGGAGTTAGTTACACTGTTAGAGGTTAGTTATCTGCTTATCACAGCAGTCGTTTACTTTCTATAAATACAGCTTGTATGTAATATCAAGGTTAATAAGAAGAAATAAGTTTTCCACACACACGCACACACATTTTTGAAGTATTATGTTGATCAATAATACAATACTTGCTTCTTGAAACTAACATTTGATGGTTAAACTTTCATTTGTAAATTTTTTTAGGATTGCATAAGTTAATGTTACATGCCTTAAATGCAAGCAACAAGTACGGTAGGACAAGATTATTCATTGTTTATCTTTGACATTTTTTGTTGAACCGTGTGTGATGTTTATCAGTTTGGATTTTTATTTTTTATTTTTTAAATTTAGATGACCAACTTGGTGGTCAAATGTATAATATTCTATGGAAATATAAGAGTATTTGTAGAGAAATGTCCCTTCGCCACTTATTTGGCGGGAACCATTTCTGGGGATTTTTTTCCTTATGCACCCATTGCAACACTTTGGTTTTTTTGAGACAAGTTTGCTAGCCGAGACTTCCTACGTATAGGTATTATACTAATTATGGTCTTCTATTTAACTGTAGATACAAAAAGTTGTAGTAGTCTTAACTTGAAAAGGCTAATAGTTTAGTGTTTGCTTCATTTTACTACTTGGGTGGTCTCTCTCTCTCTCTCTCTCTCTCT